TAAATTGCTATATTATAATTTTCAACTTAATTTTGCCATCATTCCAATGGATGTGTATAGGTTATATTAATTTTAAAAACTGCAAATATGTTAAATAATTACTGTATGCCAAGACACTGCATTTAGTATAACATTGTAGCAAATGTTTTCTTTCATCAAGGGTTTATTAAAAGAAAAAAGGATAAATACGACAAGCCATCCCTTTTTCTGATTGCTTAAACCAAATACAGCAAAATGTACTGTGTTTTGCATGCTTAATGCTGAATTCAGTTGGCATATACTAGTTTTGCTCACTACATGATCTCCCTTCTGATTGGTTAAGAGTCCATTTTCACTGATTAGTACTTGTGTTGTTTCAGTTATGAAATATTTTCAATAAGTAAGTATAAGTTTAAAATTAGTTATTTAAATTAACAATTATTTAATATTAAACTATTAAGTATCTGATGTAGCTCCTTTCTTATCCTGTTTCTATCATCTTGGTCTTGATTAGGTAGAATAATGTTTAGAGACACAGTTTGAAAATCTATGATTGATTAGTGATGTCTGCCACTGGGACTGGGTAGGAAATAGTGATGGTTTTTATGCTTCATTCAGTACATTGTGATTTTCCTGATAATGTCCATGATGAAAAGCTCTTGCATGAACCTGAAAAAGAAGTGCTAATAAAATTCTAACAATCTCTAAATATTGAATCCTTCTTAAGTACCATTATACTCATGCTGTTAAGAAGGACAAAGGTAAACATCAGAGATCATTTTGACTTTACAAGTTTCTAATAAGCATAAGCACTTTCATTTAAAGGATATTCAAAAGCTAAATTATATAAGCTAGTAGTAAATTTCTAAAGTAAAACTTGTATTGAGATGAATGATACTTCTGATCAATTATTTTGTCAGTATGAGAACTGCTTGAATTTACCATTTCTAATTTTGAGGAGAAAATTACTGTTTTAGTCAAAGCTGGCTTTTCAAACATTCTGTACATTCAGAATCTCTCTTAGAGAGGAACTAGGAAGATTCAGAGTGATTGATTTGATTGAGAATGTCAAGCCTGAAAATTTTCAAAGCATATATCGTTTCCTATGCATGAATAATTTTTGCTGCTTCAAGGTAGAAGAGAAACATGGCACTGGATTATTCCTCAGTGTGGAGCCCAGGCCACCCTCAGAGACACTTCTCTGACCCAGTTACATGTTATGATGATTCTATTTGTTTTACTTAGCTGACTACAGGAAATCATTTCTGTCTTCTGTTGATTCTGCCCAGGGTACTCCTCCATTTTTTAATAGAACCATAGAACTGTCATTGGTGGGATGCCCTCTGTGTCCCCACCTGTTCCTGGTGGAAGTGGGATTCTTGGGGTGCCACGGGAACAAGAAATTCCTTAGGCCCCCACGGGAGGATTAGGTATCATGGAATGCTTTATTGATGATATAATATTAAGGGAGTTCTCCAAGATGCCATTTCCCTCCTTCCCACCTTGGAAAAAGCCCCATTTTGTCTTCAGCAGAGCTAGGATTAAAGTCACTGACCAGAGTTTCTGCTCCATATTAAAATCCAGTCCAGTCCAGTATTTGGCTAGCTTAGCTCGAGTTCCCAGCAGCAGTCCACTGCACACAAGGTGTGCATGACCATGGGTCACGTGGCTCCTAGGGCCACATGGCAGGCTAGCACAGGTCACAGAACAAGCTAGAAACAGGAGTGTAAGAGGAACAAGAGAGAGAGAACTCCTTTGATCATTTTAACTAGGAGCTTAACCAATGAATCCTTCAGGATTTCATGAGCTTGCAGTGGCTTCACCCTGGAGCCAATTATCTTTAATCCCCAGGTTAGACTGACAAGCAGGCACCTTCCCTACATCACCCAGCTACACTGTGCATGTGCGCATCTTCCCTTTTGTTGGGCCCCTTTCCTGGTGATCTGCTGGGAATGGACCCGTGGCTCCCTGTGGGGAGTGTAAAACTGCAGCTTCCTGGTGCAGCTGCCCAGAGGACTATAATTATAATGTCTAGCCTCCACTTTGCTCTCTTCCTATTTTAATATTAGCTAGCTAGTTTCTATGGTAACAGAACCACTGACATAATGGAATCACTGTTTAATATTTTGATGTTTAGTCATTGTCAGTTGTCTGGTTTACGATTCCTTCTAATCACATATTTTACCATAGGTAGAAGATAATTGTATTTTAATGTTTAATGTCTGTTTCTAAAGTGTGCCAGTCTTCCTCTCAGCTTTTTCTATATGGCCCACCACCCTCTGTTGTCATCTCAATACTTCTATTTTTAACCAAGGATAAAATATTTGGCTTTCTGTCTGAATTGTTGCTGTTGTTTTAAGTTATTGGTTCTTAGTTTTAAAATTAACATATTATTTAAACAAAATTAATATGGGGACTTTTTTATATTTCTCTTTGGTAAAAAAATTTAAAACAAAACAACTAGTTCCATTTTATTCTGGACCTCTCAGTACTCTCTCCTACGTGTCAGTGAAGTTCACAATGAAAAAAAGTACATATGGAGTGAATAGTTCAGTGGATACATAAATTCCTGCTTATTTGACATTTCCCAAAGGGACTAGTCATTTGGACGTAAGTTAATCATAGTAGCCCAACCAGTTGAGTGGACGATTTTCTAGTGTGACAGAATGAATGCAATAAGAAGAGGTGCCTGCAACTAGAATATGTGGAAAGAAATGGCTTGACATTTTATCATATCATTGTATATTGATTTGTGTCTAAGAAAAATTCACTGTGCTTTCTTCCAGCTGTGATTTTCAGCTTGCTTGAAGGTAAATAGGAGACATTCAGAAAGGACCTGGTTCAGAGGCATTCTTTGAAAGCAATAAATACATTTTTAGTATCACCTGTCAAACCACCAGAACACTGAGACTTCTGTAATTACTGATTTTTAATGAATAGTTTCAAAGTACATAAGACAAAATAAATTGATATAATGATGCCTGTGTTGAGGAATATTTTTGTGAAAATACCCTATTTAATCTGTTGACATGAGCTATTTGTAAAAGATGAGTTGAAAAATCCTTTAATTGAAACTGCCATTGTTGATGCAAGTTATTGCTATTTTCCAATAGTATAAATGTTCTTTACAGAATTGTATTTTTGTAGCTGCCATGTCTTTGTGGTATGTATACAAACAAAAAAGTCACAGACTGGCCTACATCTTCTGAGATCACTGTGATTTTCCCCCCAAGTTCTCTTAAATAAGAAAAATATGTTTATTAATGTAACCAATTGAGTAATAGCCCTGTTTTAAGATGCTCTCAGTGAATCACAAGTAATTAGTAGGTAGCTTAGAAATTTGAAATTGGAAAGTATGAATTTTCTCATTTTTCAATGTGGTTATTAATATTATGTGATGATTTATTTAATCAGGTCTTTAAAATCACAGATCAACAGTTATGTATATCATATTGATATTAGCAAACTCAAAAATTGTATTAATAAAGCAGTGATTTAATCACATTTTAATTGGAACAAAATTTTAATCAAAGAACATTCTGACAGAAGTGTTTTTAACAAATTAGGTTTTCTTGGCAAATCCATTTGAAAGTACAGGTTAACTTTTCAGAGATATTTTACAAGCTGTAATCATTTTAATGTAAGACATAAGCCAACAGTGTGTCCTGGACACCTGGGTGAGAATAGGTACACAATGGGCCCATCACCAAGAAAAGTTCCCATGGAGGTGTTGAGAGAGACAGAAACATCACTCTGGGGTTCAAATTAGAGAAAGTCCCATATAATTGAGCAACAGAGAAATACAATTCATCAGACAGGTAACATTTGAAATGAGCTATAATGTATTTAGCAAAGTTTTTACAACTGCAGATGAATGTAATTGCTAAGGAAACACTCTATGCCAGAAATGTTTCTTCTAGCCAGCTTACCAGTCTCTCAGTGGTATTAACATGTTCTTCTGAAAACAGAATTCTTTCCTGAAGTGAGACTTCTACAGAAGCCCTTTTCATAAACTGGTTGAAGTGCATTAGCTCCAATTGCAAGGGGGGGGTTTAGGGGGGTGGAGTTTAAGATCCTGTTCCTTCTTTTCATACTTTCCCTACTTTTGCCACCGCTAGCTCCTTATCAGCACCTCAATGTGGATGTGCTCTGGATCGAAACAGCACATTGCATTGTAATATAATTTTATCATTGAAAAACCTAACAACTGTTTTGAGGATAGAAATTACAGAAAATAAAGATGAAATATATCGTCTTGGCTCATAGGAACATGTGTTTGATAAAACCTTCAGTGAAGTGCTTTTCAAGGAGAAAGGAAAGTGCATCTGTGTCAGAGGACACTCATTAGGGCCTCCAGAAAGACATGGCATTTTTATATTAATAAAAGGGGGCTTGTAAAAATGAGAAATACCAGTGCAGAAGATAACTGTCTGGGGTACTGGGAAAGATGACAGAAATAGTAGTAGTTGGGGGCCATGTGCTAAAGTCCTTGAATGCCATGTTGACACATGTGGCAGCACAGGTTTTACCCTGCAAAACCCAAGGGGTTATTACTAGTAGCTGGATGCGTGCACAACCTGAGCAGCTGTGCGTGATGGGCTTTGTGCTTAATTTGGGTAACAGTGGAGAGTCTTTGAATGGGTTTTAAGCCTGAGAATGGTGGGATTATAGTTAAACCTTAAGGGAATTAATCTTGCAGGTTTTACAAAGCGCAGAAATGCATGTGTAGAATATAATAAGCTTGGTGGTCTGTTGGAAGCACCAACTGGTTTCACAGCTTAGCTAGAGGAGTGAGTACAAAGTAAGCAGGACTCTCAAACTTGTTCTCAGGCGACCCGAGAGCCGCTGTGCCTGACAGGAGGACAGGGGTCAGGCTCGCGGTGGTCGGGCCTGGGCAATACGTGACACTGGCTCTCCTTGAACATCTCATGCCACTGTGAATGGCCTTCTCATACCAAATGAGCCAGTTGCTGTCGCTCCTCCTACAAGGCTTCATTTCTCTTTGTTTTTTTCCCTTTCAGGCTGAAGTCATTGATGTGAGTTATGGAAATGCAGAGGATTTAACAAGGATTACAAAGATGAGAAATGTAACAAACCAGATTGCACTCCTGAAATTAGGAAAATGGCCACTGCTTTATAAGGTTGGTCCAATGTTGGTGTTTTGGTGATGGGGTGAAGATTTTGTTTGGCTTTGTTGAAGTTTTATGCACCTGTGTGTGCGTGTTGAGTGAGTGTGTGTGGTGTGTGTGTGTGTGTGTGTGTGTGTGTGTGTGAGTGAAAGGGGGGGGCACACAGAGGCAGAGAGTGTCACAGGAAAATGGCTTTTCCAAAACAGAACATTTTAAATTAACATTGTTAAGAGAAAGAAATTGATGTTTTTATTACTTAAGACAGAAGATACCTTAAGCCAAGTATTGGTGAATTTGTGAGACCTTGACAAAATTGGCATACTCTTCATAACAATACCTATCTGGAATGCTAAAAATGAGAATGACACTGTCCTCTTCTTATGATATATGTGAAACTTTTAATCTATTATCAAAACTGATTAATTACTATCTGTTTTATGTTAGACTAGTATCTAGCTGATTTACAGTCCTTAGTGATTGATTCTGTCAACTGTATAACTTCACATTTACTAACTGTGCTCAGGAATTTAATTGAACTATAATATGCTAAGGAGAAGCAGAATTTTGATTTATTTTACTTAAGTAGAAGTTTATTAACACTCATCCACTAGATGCATTTACATAACTAGAGCAGTTTGATCTAAGTATCCCGTAATGAGCCACCATCATAGCCAGCCACTACTGCTCATTCTTACTGCATCTTCTTTTTCTATTAAAAAGAATGGTCAGTGTAGTTATATCACTGGAACTCTCTGGTTGTAAAGACATATGGGATTTGTCCTCACTCAACCCTAAAGGAGCTTTGTTAATTGCCAGGTCTGAAAAAGTTTTCCGAAATCTGTTGGCGCACTCTGTAAGGAGACAAGAGAACATCCTGTGCCTGATTTTCATTATCTCCCAAGGATGGCCTTCCACTTAAATCAGTGTCTGGTACATAACTGTCCAGAGTCTTAAGATGGTCATGAAAATAGAGTATACAGTGATATAAATTTTTGCAGGATAATTTGTCAACATGTATTAAATGCCTTAAAATAATCACATTTTGATTCATTAATTCCAGTTCAGTCAATAAATTGTAAAGGGGAATACAACAGAGTTGATGAACACAAAGATGACCAGTGGTGTGACAGAATATTAGAAAGGATATGTAAGTCTGGTTACGTATTGAAATTTATGTTACATTTGTACAGCTGGATCCTATAAAGCAATTACAGTGTAAAGAAGAAGAATGATGGATAAATTCTTATAAGTCAAACAAATAAGTTATAAAGAGGACATTTATAATAATTATAGTAATAATGATTATGTTATTGTTATTTGTTGGTATAACTTTGTTAGTTATATGGGCTAGATATTTTTCTAAGCACCTTTTATGTATTATCACAATAGTCTTCACAGTAACTGTATTTTTGAGATAGAGAGGTAACTAAGGCAGCAGAAGAATAAGTGACTGTCTCAAAGATGAACAGCTACTTATATGAAACAATCAGGATTTACATCCAGTCTGTCTCATCTCAGATCCTGAGTCTTTAATGTGTTTGTTTAGGTGTGTGTATGGTGTAGTTAGAGTAAACTAATGGATAGAGAGATAGAGATGATGATGATGATGATGATGATGATGATGATGATGATAGATAGATGATAGATAGATAGATAGATAGATAGATAGATAGATAGATAGATAATGAAGATGCTAAATTGGAGTTTTTAACTCAGATTTTAATATATAAAAGAATGGATATTTCAAAACGAGCTACCCAACACCAGTATTTCAAAGGAAACAGTTGAAAACATGTTAGACTATTATTAAACTCCTTACTTTATACAGGGTGTAAAAGGTTTGAAGATTTGGGGAAGAGGATTTTACAAATAGGAATTTTGGAGAAATATAAGTTCCATTGCAAGCCTGGTGACTGGGGCTTCAATGGAACCACATGGAGGGCTTAATGAATATAGTCTGCAGGATGGGGGACATAGACTGGCGTCTGACTCACCCGAGAGTCCTAAAGTAAGAGGTAGGTTTCCTTAGCATCAAACATAGGAGCAGAATAGGAGTGTTTGTGTTGGAGCTGGAAGTAGAAAAATGTGTTTGTTTCCCATGGTAACACAGTAATGTGAGCTGGATATTTTTCTAACTCCTTTTTTTGTATTATTACATTAACCTTCACATTAACTATATTATTGAGGTAGGGGTTATTATTATTATCAATTTATAGATGAGTGTCATTAGTCAGCGAGGAAGGAAATTAAACGGAGTTCACTCCTCCAACCACAGACCTGCTCTGGTGGAGGGGCAAGAAGAACTTTATATCAAGGATAAAGTTTTGATCATGGTATGAGAACTAGGCATTCCAATTATTTACTTAAAACAGTTGACACAAATTGGACTTTTGACTACCGCTAATCAGAAGTCTTCTTCTAGGTGTTTGGGGAAGAATGTTCCTCTCTAGGCATGTTTTAAAAGGACAGAGGGAATCAAAGTAACATCGCCCTGGGTACATCACATGAAACCTGTTTGTTCAACCTACCAGTGATAGTGACTGAAATGTTGTTAGTGGGCAGGGGCCAATTATATAAATTGGGTAGATGGAAATAAGGCTATTTTCTACCGCTTTATATTTTCCTGAAATTTTAAATTGTCTACAATGGTTGTGTATATACTATTTTGTAAGAAAAAAAGCCTTTAAAAATTCAAGTAGGCATAAGGCATTAAAAATTTTTTATAACAGTGCTTATAGGCCAAATAGTCAAAATTCTTACTAGTAGATAATGGGTTAAGAAAAAGCAAGTTGCTTTTTATTTGTAGTTGACTGCTCCAGAGAATTTTTTATGAAAACCTTTGGCCACATCTATAACATAGTGAAGTAGTGGTTTATCTAGAATAGGACAAAATAATTAAGAACCTGGTCTATTTTCCCAGATTATCTTTCTTATAGGCCTGTGAATAGATTTAACAGAGTTCTCTGCAGGATCCCCCCTCCAGGCAGAGAACCTTGCCTCAAACTTGGCCTTGCCTTCTAGGCCGAGGAATCAAGGCATCCTTTCTTTCACCTTCCATTCTAGCCATCTCCGTTTCTTGCAGATTGTCCCAGAGGTTTGGGAGATTTGCTGATACTGTAGCTATTAATGCACATTCACAAAGCACAGAGGAAAAAAGCATGGATTAGACAGCATGGTTATAGCCACTCTTGTTTTACCCGCTCATCAAATATATCCTGGGGCTGACATGTGAAAGGCAGAGGACCAGTGGACTTCGATGTGAGTCACAACTATGAATCGTGATTAAAATAGGAGAATCTGCACTGAGAACATGCAGCTGAATGAGTAATGAGAAAAGTTAATGCTATTTGAGCTGAGCAGTAGTTCCTCAATCATAGTTCAAAAACGAATTTGGTAGGGAATCTTTGAATGTGAGGGAGGAAGGCAAAGGGGAAGCATAATGTGATTATTAAATTGCCTCTTAAACAAGTAGAAAAATAGTCTACAGCCGAGAAGGAGGAGATATCAGTAGTTCCACCGTAAATACTGTGTACTTGTTAATTTAGTCTCCAGGAATCGGATTGATGAGAAAATCCCCTCATTGTGTAGCAGGAACTGTGAAAGGCAAATGGCTTTTAGATACATGCTGCAGGAAGGAGCCAACTGAATTCTCCAGGGCTAGCTTGGACTAGTTCCCTTTAGCTTAAACCTCAGAGGAAAGGCTTTATTTTAACTTTGTATTTCTGGCAGTTTATTTTATGGGAGAGTGCTTTAATTCTTCAGGCTTTTAGACAAAATATTCTCTTACCTGTCATAATGGATTCACTTAGATTTCTCTCAGTGACAATCTGAGACATAGCAAAGCAGATTCTAAGATCCTCACAAAATCCCAAATTGCCAAATAGCACTCTAGTAAGGAATTTATTTTATAAAATGCAATCAAAGCATTTGACTTTCTTTTTAGAGCCATTTCACACACACACACACACAAAAATCAATAATAAAAAATTACTATGTACTCCATGACAACTAGACATCAAGAAAATCCCAGTGAAATGTGAAGGCTGGGCCATTGTCTGTGTCCACATCGCATATCAGCCCCATATCTTGTAGGAGTCAAATTTGTATGCAGTAAAGTTACCATGAATACATGTCTTATGCCTTTTGGGCATGGTAAAATTACACCAAAAATCCACAAGTGCTATTGCTATTTTTGTAAAGAAAATAACATACAGCATCTTCCTAGTACTTACTGTTACATAGTAAGATATCAGTAAATATTAGCAGATTTTTGCATTTTCTTATATACATTTTTATCCTTATAATTACAATTTTAATGATCCAGGAATCCAAATGATTCTGTAGTTTCCTACTAATAAAGCAGTTTTTTATACATGCATTAGATAGACTTTATGTTGAATATCTATTGTGTATTGTTTGTACAGTATGTAATCTACCTAACCACCACTTAAGTCCATAGCACACTTATGTAGGTAGGCCTTTTGGAAGAGCCTGGAGGGAAATGATAGATAGGAAACAACTGTTAGGTGTTTATACTTCTGAATAGATTGTTTCTGACAAATTAGGAATGAGTGGTACTACTTGAAGAAAAATAAATGCCACATTCTTTGAGTTTACCTACATAATAATATAATTTAATTAAGTTTACTATTTGAATATTATGACTAAACTTTATAGTATAAGTTAAAGAAAGCAAGAAAGAATGAAAGAGAGACAGAAGACAGAGAGACAGAGAGTGAGAGGAAAGGAAGGAGAGAGGGAGGGAAAGAAGGAAGGAAGGAAGGAAGGAAGGAAGGAAGGAAGGAA